TTCTACAAGTGTTTCCCATCAGCATGTTAAACATATGATAATTTATCAGGAAATTGAATAAGGCAAAATTCCAGATATATAATGAAATACAACTTAATCAAGTATGACCTGCTCATGAGCAGGTTCAGATTCAATTCTAGATTCATGCTCTGGCCTAAGTTTATATTCAGATTATAATTGAGGTTTGAATTTGAGTTCTGGTTAAATTTCAGATTTCAGTTTTTGGTGTCAATTCATTTTGCATTTACAATTTTCTTCTAGATTTAAATGTGACAATCAAAGTTCCTTGCCTTGATTTTTTTTTCAACTGTAAATTTAATTGTCTGTTTTGGAAAGTTTCCTAATTTTTATTTAACTTGGACTTCACTTTAAGCCTATGTAGTGTTGGAATGCACAATGTCATGAACTCCCTTCCAAAATGTTTTAGCAACGCCTGTTTTTTTAGTAACAAACTTAAAGCATTTTTGATATGTCATCTGGTTATCATTAAAGAAAAGTGACTACGTTGACAGGAGGATAAGCTTAGCAATCCTAAAGTCAATTGAGTTAAAGTACTTAAATCCCCTAAGCAAAAATAGTCTGCAGGAGAAAAAACGGTGGTTTTTTTAATGAAAAAATTGACCAATTGATTTGGAAACCAATTTAATTGAATTTGCTTATCCACTTCAGTTTGTATTCTCTGTTTGGATTACTTCTTTTTTCTTTTTAGAAGCTCTTATCAGTGTGTAGATAATGTGGTGGATTGTGTACTGAAGAGAATGTGATTCTTTCCCCTTTCTACAAAGGAAACATGCATGATTATGGGAGTTGCAAAATGATATTTGTTGGGAATTCGTGGGAGGTTCACCTAGATCATGCTGATATTTGTTAGATCCCTACCCTCCCTTGACACTTGATCCCACGGTCAGAATGAGAATCCATGGGAGGCTAATCTGGATCATGCCAATCTCATTATATATTTGGGTGGCTGATTTGGGAAGGATTAGTTTAAGGTAATTATGCATGATTCTGTAGTTATTTGTTTCTTTATTAAGATATCTTGTATATATCTATAAATAGGGATATTTTTGTGTAATAAAATGAACTTTCCCTCTCCAATTCTCCAAATTTAACATGGTATCAGAGACTTCATCGTCTTGACTAGAATTCTGAGTTTTTTTATTGCTGGACTTTCTGAAGGGACCCTTTAGAAACGAAAGGGATCATATTTCAGTTTGCTCATTCCTGCATACATCCAACCGAGAGAGGGAGAGTGCTTCATCTCATGGTCTCTTTGTTTGTTCAAGAGAGACAAACGTTTAGTGCATCTCGTCTGGAGGAGTCGAGCGAGAACCCCGTGGTATCTGTGTTTGATCAAGAGAGACGAACGTCTCGTAAACCCCTCTCGCATGTGTGTGACCAAACATGACAAGAGAGGCGTGTGGCCAAAAGATTATGCGCGTGTCTGAGAGCTGATTGTGCGGGATTGCGCTCTCCGCTACGTGTCATCAAGGACGAGCCGATTCTTGCATTTTGCTTCCTACTCGGGTACGTCCAGAGCAACAAAGCAAGTGAGAAGGCTTCTCCTTTCGGTCTTCTGCGTGCAACTAGAGAAGGCATGTGAGACCCCTCTCGTGCGTGCCTACCTAGTGGCCGAACTGAGTGATGAAGAGGATCAAGAGAGGGAGCGAGTAGGGACTGCGTGCGTGTGTGCCTGAGCTAGGATGACGGCCCTCATACATGTGCAGGAGTTGAACTGAGCAAGGAATAAGTAGTTGAAGAGTTGTTATACATGTCATCAAATCCTCCATTTGAAGAGCCCCTCCTTGCCTCAAATCCCGATCGCTTCTGCATGTTCTTGATCTGTCATCCTTAGATCTGGGAAATGTATAAGAAGGCTGAAGCCTCCTTTGTATAACAAAAGAAGTCAACCTCTTTCAAGATATCCATCGGTGGGATCAAATCCTCAAATAGGAGGAAAGCCACTTCTTAACCCATGTTCTTGCCTTCTTCACTATCGTTGACAAAATTGTCATTAAGAACCTTGCCGGTCAGATTTGGATTGTAGTCAATTTGTTGTATTCAAAGCCCGCTGATGGCAAAATCTTCATATGTGGGTTATGAAGTGCGTTCTTATGGTGGGGAAGAAGATGGCTTTCTTGGTGGTAAGAAAGTTCATTGCTGTGGTCCAGTGCGTGCTTATGGTGACCGAAGAGTTGGTGAGTACACATATAAAGTACACTACTTCCCTAAGGAGTTGATCATGGATATCGAGGGTGAGGCTACAGAGAAATTAGAAGCACTTTACCCTACCTGAAGGAGCTCTCGCTTGCTAGTTCTTCAAGTTCCCATCATCAGCCTTCATTGCGGGAATTATGAGGAATATAGGTTTTCACCATCGACCTTCATTGCCCGAGTTCTGAGGAATACAGGTTTCCATCACCGTCCTTCATTGCAGGAATTCTGAGGAATCCAAATTCGCACCATCAGCCTTCATTGCCGGAATTTTGAGGAATACTGATTCCCACCATCGACCTTCATTGTCGGAATTCTGAGGACCTTCGTGCATCCAAGACCGAGGAGAGATCGAGCAAGACTGCAGGAGAGCTCTTTTTGCGTGCAATGTCCAGAGTCAACCGAGCAGAAGAGAGCGCAAGACCTTCTTCTGTGTGTGTTTGGAAAGAGCCGAGAGTTCTCTCTCATGCAGGGGCAGGGACAAGCAAGAGTGCAAGGCCTGCACGATCAGACCAGAGGGATCAGAGGCTCTGCGTGCACCTGTGCTGGCTTATCGAATAGGAGTATGTTCAGGTGGAGTTAGATGACCTGGGAAGGAGGAGATCTGTGTATTGAGTGCTTGAGTTGCTTGAGACTTATGTTCCTGCTCTTGTCCTTGGAGCTTGCCGCAACCCTAAAAAAATTATGATTTTTCCTTGTTTACTGTTGTGCCTTCATTGCTGGCCTTCCCTTGAGAATCGAGAGAGATGGACCCGAAGGATAATTAATCTACTTTTCCTTTTGTCCCATTACCGGCCTTTATTGCCATTTTCGGTATCTTGAGGGCTACTGTTCAACACAACCTTCATTTTTATCTGGCACCTTGCAGGCTTGATTGATATAGCCTTCATCACTATCATTTGCCGTTGTCGCAATGTCTAAAGCTAATCTCTCCCAAAGTTTTGACCAAATGGAGGACTATGTTGCACCAAGGGACTCGATAACTCTACTTTTCTATGACTAATTACCAAGTTGGGAATGACATATTTGTATTCCTCATTTTGAGGGAGTGTTAAAATAATGGTCTTCCTTTAACACTTGATCCCACGGTCAGCATGGTAATTCGTTAGAGGCTCACCTATCGTCCCTTGACACTTGATCCCACGACCAGGATAGGAATCTGTCGGAGGCTCGCCTGGATTATGTCGATCTCCTTTTATATTTAGGTGGCTGATTTATGAAGGATTATATTAAGGCAATTATGCATGATTCTGTAGTTTTTTATTTCTTTATTAAGACGTCTTGTATAGATCTATAAATAGGGATAATTTTGTGTAATAAAATGAAGCCTTGTCCCTCTCCAATTCTCTAAATTTAACAATATTTGTTCTCACAAATGTTGGAAAAGTGAGTGAGCAAAGATTGCATCCAAGCAATTGTAGTTTGTTTGGAGTTTTATGTACGTATAGTAAGACAGTTTGCCGTATTGTTGTAAGAAATCACACAAGCTAGTTTCGCGAGCTTTAGGCATTTGAGGAGTGGATAGGAATTTATCTACAGGATGCAACATTAAGTTTCTTTCAAGTATTATAATAGTTGCAGATACGTGATTGGGTTGAATTGCAGGATTTGCAGTTTCGTTATGGCTGGGCTTTTGGAGTTGTGGAGTTTGCAACTAGAGAAAAAAAGTGGCTCAGTAGATGTGGGTATCTTAAAATTTGTTTAGGGGACAATGGACATAGCTATGTTGGCTTGGATATGATTAAATAGTTTTGCGGTTGTGATGGGGGTGCTTATAGGATTTTGTAGCATGGGTGAGTGGATGCATGTTTCATGATGATGGGAGCAAGGATGAAACTTAATGAAATTTGAGAGTAAAATAGCAGGGTAATGAAATTTCGTGATGATGGGAGGAAGTTGCAGGCACGGTGAAGCAAGGGAAAATCCATTCCAAGCAATAGAGCTTATTGTCCTTCTTATTAAGGAAAAGGCAGGGTGATCCTAATCTTTAATTTTTATCCAAAATACCATTCTCTTCCTATTCGTACCGTCTCAGGATACCTTGCATCATTTTTAAGTTTTGGAGCACATTTTCTATGACAATTTTAAATTTTAAATCATAAAAACTTAAATCCTATACATCTCTATTTATTTCATGCCAATTATATGAGCCAACTAAGCTTAATATTAAGATAACTATGGACTAGTTGTAATGTTATGAAAGTTTTCAATGTTGTAATATTCTGTTCAAAGTTGCATTATTTCTAGTTTGAAATTAAATGTAAATAACCATCATTTACTTCAGGAATAGAATTTAACTTTTTTTAAGGCTTTTATACATTTAAACAAAATATGTTTACTTAAATTGACATAATTCAAAATTATTTATTGTTTAACATTCACATTTTTTGTTTTGGTTTCAAAACAATGTATGATAATATTCATTTCCTACCCTTTTTAGACAAGTTTGTCTAACTTTTGAAGAAACAAAATGAATTAATTTTGTAATTTTGTGCTTCTTCATATCATTCTAGGCTTCTTGTTTATTTTCTTTTTATTAATGTAGCTACAGCCAATGTGTAATCAGTATCCGGCAACCTTAGTGCTAATATTAACGCAAATTTTAATGCTATGGCATTCATAGTGACTGCTAGAAATGACTAGAAAGATTTCAATAAAGATCATACTTAAAAACAGGGGGTTTTCAATGGAGAGTATGCCGGCTAGTTGTACTTGATCTGAGTATGACTAGTTTACTATTGATTTGTGGTTTTAGTTCTTTTGACAAAGAATGTTTCTATTGCTAGGACTGTGATCAGGCAGTCGATACCTTTATTTTTGTGAGCTCTGAAGTTTAGAACAAAGGGGACGGAGCCTGTGATCCTCAGCAATGAATTCCTCGAATGAAGGGAGGCATGATGATGAGGCTGCACTGACTGAGTTCCTCTCCTCACTGATGGATTACACTCCCACTGTAAAGAATTTTCTCCCCTCCTAATTGATAGAACTATTCACATCCACCTTACGGCAGCCTTTCTGCAGATCCCAGATGAGCTTGTGGAACACTATCTGGGTAAAAGTGGCTTCCAGTGCCCTGACTTGCGATTGTAGGTATTCATATCTTGTTTTCCTTTTTCTGAACTTGCTATGATCTAGGAGATTAGTAACCGTGTTTTTCTCTTGATTTATCATATATAGTCATTTCTGAGTGAAAGTGCTAACTTTAATTTTTACCTTAATCTAAATTTGTGGCACTAGACATGATTAAGTGCATTATGGCGAGATTTATCCCTATCATTTCAAATTTTGGATTTGACCATTGAATTTGATTATGATCTATGTAAATTCATGCTCTCAAGAGTAACATTTTGTAATGAATAGAAGATAAACCACCATTAATGGTCATTTTTGGGAAGATGGTTCTTGAAACTCGTAGCTTACTTTTTTTTTTTAATTTACTTGGAAGGGAACATCACTTCAATTTTCCTTTCTGGGGGCATTTCTTATGAACATTTACATATCTAATTCTTTCAAGTTGTTGCATCCTTCTTTTCAAACATATTTGATGCCTTTATTATATCAATAGCTTCCTTCTGTCCACCATTATTACTCACCTATAAGGCTCTTTCTTGTGTTTGTATTTCGCCAGGACAAGGCTTGTGGCTGTAGCCACCCAGAAGTTCATCACCGAAATTGCAAGTGATGCGCTTCAGTATGTTCTGCTTTCCCTTTGAATTTTTTCTTTTCCTTAAGCTATAGTGCAGTATATCACGTCTAATTGTAAATGTTATGATACTTAACTTTATGGCTGCAATAACCATGAGATTAATATGAAATTCTGTCACGGAGTGTTGATTTTGGCATGCAATAATGGTAATATGGTTTTCTATTTCATGATTCCAAGAAATCCCCGCATTTTGACTTAGAAAACGTGACTGCTCTCCATAAAATGCATTACAAACTGCACGCTTCCCTTTAATCTTTTATGCAATATATATAGACACATCCCTTTAATCTTTCATTTCCTTCTCTCCCTCAAAAAAAGAGGAAGGATGATTGATTGATGCCTTCATTTCTCACTGAATCAGGCATTGCAAAGCAAGGCTGTCTGCACCAGTAAAAGATAAGAGCAAGCAGCCAAAGGTGTTGTTTTTTGCTGACTAATTTCTAGTACCTTTTTAATTTTTTCTGATTACATTATGAATTTAATTATGGTTCCCACAGGAGAAGCGTCTTGTTTTGACAATGGATGACCTTTCAAGAGCCTTGCGAGAGGTAAAAGAACCCTATACCCTTGATCTCTGCTTTACTCTCATCAAACGCATTTTCTAGTTCTGGTCCCAGCTCATGCGCATGGATGTAATCTCATAATTTTTATTTCCAACCTTGCGTGAAGTGTTTCAAGTTCCTATATAAACAATGCAGTTGCTAACTTCCAAACAGTTTGAGATGACATAATGTGATAGAAGTTAAATGTTATAGTTTATTTGGTCAAGTATTGGTGGAAAAATTTTTTTGTAGCTGATGAGTAGCATTAGGTGCGGAACCAGCCTTATAAGTAAAAATATAATTTTTTTTTTCATAAATATCCTTACAACCAAAATTTGTAATAAAGACTAAAAATGCATGGAGGGGGACAAATTACCTAAAGAATCATATAATAAAGAGTTGCCCCCCCTGGCCTTTAGGTGGTTCCGCCCTTGATTAGCATGCGAGAGATAGAAGATAGAGAAAGTTATGAGAGAGGTGTTATGCTTTGAACCGGCCCAGGAGGGGCCGGCTGGACCCGGTCCAACCCGGGTCTATACCAGGCGGAGGCGGAAACAGCCAGAGGAGGGGGGCGGACAAGGTGGGCCCCACTTGGGACTGATTTGATTATGTGGGAGGGAAATTTTTGAATGCAAAGGGCTGTTTAGGTATTTTGTAGGAATCCTTTATTGTTAATTAGGAGGATTAGGAGGGAGAGGGGCTTATCTTGAATTTGAATGTAATTTGAGATCTAGGGTTTCTTGCTTGGGCTCTTGGCGTTGCCGGAGATTGTCGGAGAGTTGTTCTTCCTCTCGAATCAAAGAACATTGTATCTTTCTTATTGTCTTGCTACAACTGTTCAAAGTTTGCATCCAGGAACTTAGGTGCTTTTGAGCTTTTGATTGGCTTAACCATGCTTGTGATTTTTCAGTTCGTTAGCGCAGTAAGTTAGCCTCTACTCCAACGGTACAGATCATTTTAACCATGTTGTTGCATATTTAACTTGGCTTAAATTTTTTTTACTTGAACAGTATGGGGTGAACTTGAAACACCCAGATTACTTCGCTGACAGCCCTTTGACTGGAATGGATCCTTCATCAAGGGAGGAGTGATTGAAGAAAAAGCCTAGTTTTGTGTGGATGTTTCTCAACTCAAGTAGGACTCATACTAAAAAGCTTATATGCATCTTCATTGTGATCCAAAACCTAAATTTCTTCCTTTTAATTTGTCCATTATGCAATACTATAGTACCAAAACATATCTTGTACATTCTGATAAATAACACCTTTTGTAGTTTTGTATCTGGCTATTATTCCAAGGACAATGTTACCGTTTTTTTAATTATAATGCATCATGACCATAACCCATTATTTTCATTGCATTATACGGCATATATCATGAAGAATGTTAGCTTGATTCCTCAATTTAGAGGAAACTTAGCAAAGGACAATTGATAGATGAGATAGCTGTAGGTGAGAAAGAGGGTGAAATTATAGTACTAGAAGTTCAAGGGGTGAGCATTACTGTGCTGTATGTGGAGTGAGAAAAACTTGACCTGGAAATCCCACATCCAAAGAATGGAGATTATTCTATTCGGTGAGATTAATCTGTGCGGACACCGGACGTTCGAAGGTGAATCCACAACAAAAGAGTGACGTGGTGTGTTCTGATTCGCCTCTGGACTCCCATGAGAGCCTGAGTTGTAGGTAAAGTCCAAAAAGGAAATGGAAATTTGTAGTTTTTATCACTCAAATGTATTTGATCTATTTAAGGCTTAATTGGTTGCTTTAAATAAGAATTTTGTTATGAAATTTGTGTGATTATTGAATTTTGACATTTGGATGAATGTAGTCAGAAATCAAACGAGCTTTAAATGATATAAATACTGCTAACAGTTCTTACAGACGAGCGGATGAAATCAACGTGTCGTAGTTATATCATCTTGATGACATTTGGGAGGAATATCTAAAGTAACTTCGATCGTCTTATTTTTAATTTTTACTTAGTTTTTTATTGAGATCATTGAGTTTGGTTGCTTGTAAAACACAAGTATGTTTTGGAAATCTTGTTATTTTAGATCATTTTGTGTAAAAATAAATTAGTATTTAAGAAAATTTTCAAGTGATTGTAGATTTAAAAATTGATATGAATTTTTAAGTATATTAGATCATCTCCAGCTGAAAAATTTATTTTTTACTCTAAAATATAGTAATATTTTAAAATATAATAATTCATCTTCAATTGAAATCTATTTCTTTACACAAAAGAATATTTCGTGTATATTCTTTCTCAACCACATGCTAGCCTTTCTCCCATTGCTTTCTTTATTTTCATTAAAAATGCTTTTGTGAGCAGTGTGACGCCAATCACACTGTTCATGAATGAGAGAATAACGCCTCTTTTAGCAAGAATCGTTTGATTGTAGAAGTTCACGAGCGCCAAATAAATTATAGATATAACGCCCTCAGACAAAATGGTAAAATTTGATAGGATATATATCTCAAATTTTAGCAAGAATCGTTTGATTTATTTTGAGTTGAGTGCGCTATAAATTATAGATATAACTCATTTTTAAATAAATTAGAGGATTTTTAATCTTGTGCATTTTAATAAAATATTGTATCTGATGCTTATTCATTTAACTCAAATAAGAATTATCAATTCTACTATATTTGGCATGTGAGTGGTAGAGCTGGATATCTCTCCACTTTCATTCATACCACTTATGCAAAAATAGCTTCATAGGTCTTCATGGAATATATGGACTACTTGAATAATGTAGTGTGCTCCTTTTTGTTCCCCCTTATTCATCCTAATCTGAACTTCTCTGGCTTTAACTATGTTGATTTGATTTCCATACTGTTCTTGGTAAAAATTCTGATGATTTCCTCTATCTATTTTCTAATGCATGTGTATACATAGGCTTTAAGAGTCTGATTGGGATGACTACAACATGAAATTTTTACATACATAACACCTAAAATTATTAAAAATACAAATTTAACACATAAATTTATATATTTACTAATATATCACATGAAATTCATCTTTTAATCAATTCTAACATTCCATTTAAACCTTCCATCAAAAATCACTATCAATGACTGTCTTTTCTGTCAATGACATCTTTTCACAGTGAATAAAAGTATCTCATCGCTTCAATGGAGTGGTAGAATAGAAGGAAAGAAGATTTTAGGCGGTATATTAGTAAATATATAAGTTCAGGTGTTAAATATGTATTTTCAATAATTTTAGATGTTATGTATATAAAATTCCTTTTTTGTAATAAGTCGTTAGTAGCATTTTTATGGCTACTACAAATAAATATATTTGGTTGCAAAATACAAGCTTTTATCACAATTTTTTTTAAAGCAATAGACAAATAGTAGTGTGATTGAGACATGAAAAGTAAATAAATCAGAAAATTATTCCAATGAAAATCTAGGTGTTTTAAGATGTTTGAAGTTAAATTTAGAAAATAAGTTATATATATATATTCAATTCTTACCCTAAAAATATCTCCCTTTCATTTCCTTATTAAATCTATATTGTACATTAGCTTTTAATTATTTTTAAATAGTTATGCCTTATTAAATTAAGAATAAGTAAGTGGTTAGAACTCATTTTTAACTCTAATTTTAAGTAATTAACTTAATAAAAAGTATATAAAGTTTGTTATTTTTATTATTATTTTAATTAAAGGGAGAATAAATTTTGTTCTAATGATGAGAGAATCACTTTCATTATTACTTTATAAATATTAAAATGAATAGAATTAAATGACAAGTTAGAATATTATTTTAACTAATACTAATAAAATAATAATAATTTGCAATTAATGAGATGGTTAAAATTAAATCTATAAGTAAAAAATTTATATAAAATATGAAAAAAATTATTAACATTCATTTTAATAAAATTAACTTCTAAAACACAATCATAAACACATGCATCAAATCATTGATTGGACTCAAGATAGAATAAACCTAACATTTTCTTTCTTTTCCATTCCTTTTCTTACCTACTTCTCTTTAGGTTAAACATTTCATAAACGCTCAACTTTCTTTCATGGACTGACACGTGCCCCCTAAGGTACTTTGTACTTCCCTTCCATTCTCACAATTATCATACATATAAAGGGATTTTCCATGATTAGGATTCCTTTGCATATCATTTTATTAATGAATGTGATAACAGCAAGCAATTAAATCATTAAATATTGATTAAACAAATGCTTAAAAGCTAAAGGAAGATTTCTTCCACTGATTTTTTCCTTAAGTGCGCATAGCAGAAAAAAAAACTATAGTTTATGAAGTGAATGAGAGATAGCTGGCAATGTGCATGCACAGAGGGCTTAACCAAGAATGGTTTGGAAGCACCAATTCAAAAAGAAAAAGATCAAAATTTTCAACCTTTTGACAAAAATGTCCTTTTCTCATAAAAGAATTGAATAGTTTTTCTCTTACTTTTTATTTAGATTTATTATTATTTTTTAATATTCTCTAAATTCAAATCACATCATTAATTTAAATTCAAATCAAAATTTTGTTTGTTTTTTAATGATTTAATAATTGATTAAATATGTGAGAAAATTGGGGTGATCAAGAATGGATGATTTTGATCTTCTATTTAATGTCATATATAATATTCAATTTTAAATTTTTGGAGAATATATAGTTATTCTCTTCCCAGGATAATGTTTTTATGTGGTGAATTTTTCTACTCTTAGGTGGAGAATCATCATTTGCTTAATTTAATTTTGATGTTATGAATTTTAATAAATATATTAGAACTAATCATTCTTCTTAATATCATTAAAATTAGTGACATGCATTGTATCAAGAAATTTTACGATCATGCGATTATCTTTCGGATGCATCAAAATATTCTCATATGTTCTCTCATTTTTGACAAAAAACTGAGTATATTTATTCATAGAACTTTTAGTATATTATAGTTGACATTATTCTAAATGTTTTGATATTTTATTATTAAATTTTCCTGTAGTGTATTTTAGATAAGATCAGTTGATTTTGATTTTTTAAGATTGGTGGTTGCTATAAAGTCATAATAGGAAGCAACTGTAAAGTCCTTAATAGAGGCTATTAAAAAGTCTTAAATAGAGACTACTTGAAATCTTATATAGAGGCTATCACAAAAATCTATATTAAATGCTAGAAAATATCTTCAATAGTTATTAATCATTAAAGTTAGAAGAACAATTTTTTACTTTGTAAACCCATGTAATCCTCACTTATAGAACCTCCCACATCAAGAAGCAACAAAGAAAGAAGAGGTGTGTCATACGAGCATGGTTTAAAATTGCGCAATATGAGGCTCGCCTTGAGACCCGCCTTTGCGCAATTCCAATAAAAAACGCCTCAATACCCGAATGCACAATTTTAAACATTGCATACGAGAAATAATTGAAGAAGCCTTTCAGGTGCTTGCAAGTAGAGTTCTTCGTCTTTTTCAATAAGAAGTCTTGCCCTCATTTTATAGTAGGTGACTACATTTTTTTTCAACTAGATAAATTGATAGCTTAGTCCATATCTCAAATTTTATGTGAAATAAACTTGTTCATGTATCACTTTTCTAGTTTAGTAGATTATGGTTTTGTTTGGTGCGGCTTTCTTGCTGCTTCTTAAAACAACTTTCTAGTTTAAAAATTTTAATTTTTGTACTAAAATGCTATTTTAAGAAGCCGTAAAAGACCATATCTAATGCGACGACAGAACCCCAAACTTGCAAATAAAGAAATGATTTGGGGCTCGGATAGATATGGTGAAAACCTTTGAAAATCCTTCTCCAAATTCTTGAAGCAAATTAGTATGTGAAGAAGAGATGAAATTCAATCATTATTTGCAAGATGATTTACTGTTAAAAAAGCAATCTTAAAAAAAAATAAAAAATTCAGTGGAATTTAGGAATGCCAAAGCAAATCTTCAGCATAACACTTTACTCTCCTATCTGAGAGAAGAATTTATAGGAGTTTGATTGTGTAGAAACCTTTTTTACAAAACCATCAATAGTGTCCAAATTATCAGTGCAGAGAAACAGAGAAATCTTATTATCTAAATACTTAACCTCATCAGACAAATCAGTAAGAAGGATCTAATTCCAATTAAAAGCTCAACATGAGGAGCCAAACAGCCCTGCCGAAGTAATACCAGATTGATTTATTTGAGATTCAAAAAGCCTAAATCACTTAGTAGCATTGGATGACAACAACCTTTGCAGTTGGCAAGAAGATAATTTCTATCCAGATTTCATTTTCATAAGAAATTCGTTCTAATTTTGCCAATCCAATCAATAACCCGACAGAGAAAGCAGAAAAAATGCACTAAAAAGCAGCTTTCTTGTTGTGTGAATTGAG